ACAGCTATTGTGTGTGTGTGTGTGTGTGTGTGTGTGTGTGAATGAAGCTGATTGCCTTTGCAATTTCCAAGTACACAATACACTGTTGTCAACCGAGATTACCATATGCTATACAGGATTTCTGAACTTATTCCTCTCATTTAACTGAATTTTGTGTCCACTACATGGATTTTTTAAAAAAGCATTCATAGTGCCAGGATAAGGATAGTTTCCTTTTTATTCTTTCTAAAATTATATTTTAAAAAATGTCTTAGCCTGGGCATGATTGCATAATGCTTGTAATTCCAGTGTTCAAGAGGCTGAGAAGGATCACAAATAGAAGGCTAGCCTGGACTACACAGAAAAATAAGTAAACAGCCAGGCGTGGTAGTGTGTGCCTTTAATCCCAGCGCTCGGGAGGCAGAGGCAGGCAGATAGATCTTTGTGAGACTGAGGACAGCCTGGTCTACCTAGTGAATTCCAAGCCAGCTGGGGCTACAGGTGAACTTATCTCAAACAAACAAAAGACAACAAAAACTACTCTAATAAAATCAAGGGCTGACAATGTAGTTCAGTAGTAGAGTGCTTGTCTAGCATGTATAAGACCCTGAAAGAAAAATCAAAATCTCGGCTGAGCATTTATTATTTTCTCTCCAGATGCCTTTTCCTAGGGCTCTAACAGACCCTTGCCCCTTTAGCACTTGTCAGCCATTAGTCCCATCACTAAATGTACTGCAGAAAGCTGAGAGTCCCCCAAAGCGTGGGCTGCTCACCGCCATGCGATGCTGCTTCCGAAGCAGCTTCACCCGGATCTGGTCCATGTTGGTGGCAACATCCCTCTCAGGCTGATCTAAATCCTCTGCATATCTTTGCACCAGGGCTTCAGGAATCCCACAACGGCCATGCTGCCAGGAGAGAGATATGTGGTGTGAAGGCTGGCACAGATACACCAGACATACGGTAGGGCAAGACTAGTTACTAGAAAATAACACCAAAAGTTTTAATTCAAAATGAAAATGAGGGGCTGGAGAGATGGCTCGGCAGGAATATGGAGGGGGTTAGTTCCCAGCACCCACATGGCAGCGAACAACACCCCGGTACTCTAGTTCCAGGGGATTCAAAGCCTTCTTCTGGCTTCTGTGGGCATTTTAACACATGGTGCACTTACAACTTGTAAGCAGAACACTTATACACATAAAATAAAAATAAGTCAAAATGAATACATGCTTTTTATTATTGGGATGGATATATGAAAGGGGATATATTTATACCTTCATCTTCCAAATACTGATAAGCTCTAAAGAAATGCTTTGAAACATAATTAAGACAACACTATCCTATATTTTTCAGGCCAATGCCATCACCTTATTTTACCTATAATTTTATGAAATCCAGTTCTTCAATGTTGTTGAAGATGGTCCCCCAAACTGCAAAAAGCCAAACTACTGCTCTACAGATACTCTGTTTACCCTTCATCTGTGAAGAGTTACAACCATCATTAGGCCACATCCACTGTTCAACTCTCCTCGATTTCCCTTTAAAGGGACATACTCATGAACTATCAAAGAGGGTGAGAAAGAAAGGGGGATATGGTTTTACAAAGCATTTGTGATCATATGAATTTAATAACAAGGACTCTCTGGAACACAACAGAACATGCATTTCCAAGACTAAAGTACAGCCTCCTCCATTATCACTGATTTTTCTTCAAAGTCACTTCCGTGCTGACAGGCCTTTTTCTCTTTTTTCAAACGAGAACTGATTTTTTTATTATAGATCTAAGTGTTGTGGTGCTTTAGGGTCTTTCATACTATATATTCCCCACCCCTGCTATGTACAGATAATTGTAAAACTGTTGTACTGTATCTGAATCGGTTTCTACAATTTTCAATGTATGTTCTAGGTCATTCTATTTGCTTCTAACAATCTATGGGGGGTATGATGATTGTGGGCTATTTTTTTTTTAAAACAAATTTAATTATTTAGTTCATTTTTTTTGTCTTTTTGAGACAGGGTCTCCCTGTAGTCCCAGCTGACCTGAACTCACTATGTAGACCAGGCTGGCCTTGAACTCACAAGGATCTGCCTGCCTCTGCCTCCCGAGTGCTGGGATTATAGGCATGCACCACCACACCCAGCTCATTTTTATTTTATGTGTATGAGTGTTTTGCCTGCATGTATGTAAGTGTACAACAAGGGTGCAATGCCTGTGGAGGTCAGAAGAGGGTGTCAGATCCCCAGAAACTGGAGTTACAGTTGTTAGTTGACATATGGATGCTGTGTCCTCTGCAAGAGCAGCCAGTGCACCTAACTACTGAGCCATCTCTCCAGCCTTGATGAAGGCTGTTTTAAACCCCTGTTGACCTATATGGAAACGAACACAAACAAATTGCTGCACGAACGCTAGATTCAGATCTCTTGTCCACTACCCCATCTCCTTACGCAGCTGATTCCGGTCCTGATGTCCCTACAAAGTACAGCTGCCAAAAATTAAAAACAAGCAAGAGCAAAAGGACAGACAACTGTGAGGTTACATGTGCGGTTCGTCTGGGGGACTCTGCTGCTGACTCCCAGAGACCACAGGTGGAGGGTGTGCACCACCCATGAAGTTGAGGCCTTCCCTTTACCTGGCTATCTGATGTGAATAAAACAAGTCAAGAGACCCTGAGGCCCAGGCCTGGGATACCTTATCAGAGTAGGGCTCCTCGGTGAGATCAATGCCCTCCGCCAGCAGCTTATTCTCAGTGAGCATCTCTAGGTTGACACCTCGAACGCAGGAAACCTTCCTGCTCACCACAGGGCCCAGCTTCACACCGTGCTCCTGCAGGCTGGTGCTTTCAGGCAGCTCTGCCAGCCAGGGTGGAGGTCTTGTGCAGGGTGGGCTGCTGGGCTCTGTTCCCGAGGGAGGCCCAGGCTCCCGGGGTGAGGGGAAGTCGGAGGAGGGGCTGATGGGGCTGGCAGGGATGGCCTTCTTCAGTGGCAGGCTGGGCACCTCGAGACCTGGGCCCAGGTGCAGACCGTTGGCCAGGCGCTCTCTGCTCTTCTTGGCCGGCACGGGTGGGGGCTGTGATGGATGTCTCAGCTGCATCCTGGCCTCGGTGACACTCCGTTCCACATTTACCCCTTCTTTGGTGCCCGGGGGGTGGTGTTCATGTCCTTTTCTGTGACCCTCAAGGGACGTCCTTGTTAAGCTGGGTTTAAAAGGAGGCTGAGCCTCAAAGTTTCTGGGCACGCAAGAGGCTGCTATGGGGTCATCTGATTTCTTAGTCATTATTTTCTGGGGATCAGAAAATCTCTTGCTTTGGGTCAGTAGCAATGCATCGCCTGCGGTGGGATCTCGGCCCCGGGGCTGAGTCTTGATGGCACAGGTAGATGTCTTCTGTGGCACTTCTGGTACAATCTGAGGAGAGGCTTCTGGCACCTTGGTAGGCACACTATTGCCAGCATCAGCCTCTCCTTGAATGTCATCCAGGGAATGGGATCGGGGCCAAGTATCCACTGGCTGAGGGCCGTCCAGGGTCTCACAGCTGCGACAGATGGAGACTGGGAGGCTCCTCCGGTTTTTACTCAAGCCAGTCACACAGGGTGCATCACAGCGCCTGGTGGGGTTTGGGGCTAGGCCTCCACCAGGCCTGCCTTCCTCCCGCTGCTTGAGGATCTCCACAGACTTCGTTAAAGGCAATGTCGGATAGTTGCCAGGCTGACTCCTATTCAAAGCCTTCAAGCTGGACTCCGCTGAAGATTTGGCAGACAGACCTCCAGTTTTCTGAGTTTTGCCTGAGAGACAAGGCAACCACATTTTACAACCACATTTTAAATCAATCAAATTGATTGAGCACAAAGATTGACTAGGGACTCTTGATTCCTATATCTCATTGAATTACACTAAGGACACAAAAACAATTATGTAGGACATTAAATGATAGTGGGTTGTTAGGGACCTATTTTTAGTTTTATAAAGAATTCTTAGTCTTGGGGCTGGAGGAATGGCTTAGCTGTTAAGAGCACTGGCTGATCTTGCAGAGGATGTGAGTTCAGTTCCCAGAACCCACATGGTGGCTAAAATCCTTAAGTAACTCCAGTTCCAGGGGAATCCCATGCCTTTTTCTGACCTCCATGGGCATTATATGACAGGGTTGCACTTACATGAAGGCAATACATTCATACACATAAAATAATAAATAAAAAAAGTTCTTGGTCTTATTAAAATGCTGAAACTAATTGAGTTATGTGGAAATGAAATGAGCTGCGTCCAGCAGTAAGAGAAAGCTAGATTTAATACCTATTCCTAGCTACACTCAATATAGATGGCCGACTGGCTACGGATGCCCTGTTTGGAAACCACACTATGAGATTTCTCTTTGGTGAGAATAATTTCCTTAACTCAAGGCCAAATTGATTTCTTTGGACAGGTTTTATAAATGCTGCCCATGAATGGGGTGATACACAAACAAACAAACAAACAACCAAAATTCAAATCACATCTTTGAAGCTGCTCCACTTGAATAAATTTACCCAAAAATAACTGACCAACTTTCATACAGACCAGTAAAGAGACTACAGAAGGTCCTGTGCCAGAGACTATCTATTGAGCACTTACTTGTATGGTTCTAGCAAGGAAACGGCCCTGGTTGAAATGAATTGCCAGACCAATAGCTGAACCATCACCCAGACAAGATAATCTACGTATTTGATAGCCATTGGTTTACATTTACTGTGGCTGCTACTTAATGAGCTTTACCGGGAACATTTTGAAAATACGTAGGCACATGCGAAGAGGCACAGGCAAGCTCATGCACACACACTCACATGCACACATAGCAACTATCCTCTGTTTCATTTTTGGCTAATAATACATTTGTTGTGTCCTTAGTAGCTGGTCTGATACCTGAGAATAATCTAGATAACAGAATATATAAGCCAAGTGATCCTATTAGTCTAGACAAGGATGAAAAAAAAATCATAAATCCTCATCAGGCTTGGAAAGGACAAAGAAATGGCTGTATCTAAACTCTCAATCTTTTAGAAGCTACTATGCTATTAATATAATTAAGGTTTTCTTCCTAAACTGTTTCAATGAATATCTGAAGTTCAGTATTTTAATTTAGAATTCTGACTCTCCCCATTAAGCAATATTACCCTTTTAACATAAAAAAACAGCAAGGAGAAATCAGACTGTGGACTAACTGGCTAGAGAGGGTAAAGAAAAGGATGGAATGCTACCCATTTAATAATGAAAACGGCTACTTTAGGGCAAATGAGTGACATTCTTTGATTAAGAAAATCTCTGTATGAAGGCTGTATAGATGATGGCAATGGAACAGAAGGAAACATTAACATTACAAGTGGTTTGGCCATGGTCAGCAGGAAGGAAGACACATTCCTTCCATGATTTCTCGGCTTTCTACCAAGCTGTCTAATCTCGAACTGATGATATGAACTGTTTCACATCAAGCGTAACTGCAGATGCCTAAGGTTGGTGATGCATAATAACAACAGTGGTCTCCTCAACTGGACTTTTTATTAATAATCCCATTCTTTTTGATAAGACACAAATCAGCACATGGAATATTTTGCATTCTGTAAAGCAGAGACCAGGCCAAATGGCACGTGTCCTCCTTTAGGAATAATTTGAGACCTCAAACCCGGTCCTACCTATACTTCCATACTTATCAACAGCAATGTGCTAGGCCATTATTTGTATGTTGTTATTTTGTTGATACATGGAGATATTCGCTTACTGTTAGTACTGAATATAGTGGCTATAGGCCCATTTTTTTCATTAACAGAAGAATGACTACAGCTAAATGGAAAAGGGAAATATAAAGAGAACATAACATATTAAAGCTTAACTATTAAAGTAGAAAATTCTTAAACTTTATTTAGTACACATTTTAGAAATATGTTTTTCCTCTCTGGTTAACTCAATGTGAACCATATAGATCAATACCAGGTTTATAATTGCTTCAGTTGGAAAGATTCCTGAATTTTCCTTGGAATCAAAGCATGGTTTGCCAGCTTCTTTAATCCAGTTTAGCTGCCATTAGAATCAGCAGGTGTACCTGAATTCGTCTGACCTTTAATTCATTTAATTCAGCAGGTGTACCTGAATTCTTCTGACCCTTAAACCTTTGGCAAATACTATCTTTGTTTCTGGATTTATCAATCCAACTCTTGTTAGGATCAATTTATTGGACTACTTAGGCTATAGAAAGGTTATTAACTGAAATGAAAAGCCTTCCAAATTTATATGAGGATTTGCCATTTACTGAACTGAGGTTGTTCTGGAGTCCTGTGTGGGTTTTACATCCCATTTTACCTAGGCTATCTAAACATTAAAGATCAAGGGATTCAGTATCTTCCCAAATTGATAGAACATTCTGAATGGCAGAGCTCATGGGTAAAATTTTAAGTCCCCAAGATGTTCATCAGAATCAAGATTAGTGTGTGGAAGGCAAGGTGTCCAGGATGCAGATGTGAAGAAAGAATTACTCTAAGAGTACGGCTGGTCAGTGGGAGTGAGCACCTTGTGAGAACTGAACCCAAGCACCTGTTGGTCTTACCTTAGAACTGGTTTGTGTGCTCACAATGATGACCTCACACTATTTGTCTTTAACCATGACCATGATCCACAGTTAGAAACACATTTTACATTCACCACTCTCCCCCAGCCCCAGAAACAAAGATCATAGCAATGCCTCTAACAACCCTAAGCCTTACCTTATGGAATGCATTGATATTTTTCTGTTGTGCCTTACAAAACTGTTATCCATGACTCACTAAATTGATTTCACAACCCACTAAGGAATTGGAACCTATGGTTTAAGATGACCTGCTTTAGTAAATGCTAATAAATACCCTCATACTAACTAGACAGGATTCTAATGGCAGCTAAAAATTATGAAAGCTAGGTATTTTTCACTGTAGTCTTCAAGTGTTCAACAGACATTTAGGCCACGATGGTGGTGAACATTTTTACCACTATTTCAAATCTTTCAATAATGGAAACTTTGGGGCCAAAATAAGAAGCCACAGAGTCACCCACTTTATCCTTTCTACCACATTCTGCTTAAGACCCCAGTTCAGTTTGAGACAGGCTTTCAGAATTTCACACTGACTCCTTCCCAACTGTTAGGAAAGGGAAGCAAGATAAGACAGGTGGCCTTCCAGTGGTAATCACCCTCTCTAGTGGTAATCACCTCTGGAATCAGGTGCAGCTGGAACGTTTACAACGCTGCTGCTGGTGGGCCCCTGATGGATGGCCTACTTGGTAAATTGTTTTCCTTGTGGGCTTAATCATTCCCAACACTGAAATGATGTTTACTGTACAAAGAAAAAGGGCATAGGAGACATACAATTTAAGGTTTTACCGCTACAGGTATTTTAGATAGATTTACAAACTTCACACAGCAGCCGGGGGGAGTAAACATGAAGGCTAACTGAAGACTAGCAGAGGGAAGCAAGCGGCCAGACGTGAAAAGAGGAGCTGGGTTCATCACAGTTCAAGAATGGAGAGTTTGGAGAAGTTACACTTCTGAAATGAGGAACTATCAGGTCAGGTTCTGGCGGTCTGTGCCAACATTACCATTTTCCAGGTTCTCGCTGCTTTCGTAGCATCCTGAGTCTCGGGGGGAGCATCCACTCAGGCCCTGGTTGTCCACTAGCAGCTTCTCCTGGGACCCAGACTGGTCACTGTTACCTGGAGAAGGCCAATACACAGCATGGAATCACAAGGGGCCCCAGAGTCAGCCAAATCCTGGTTCCGTCCTCTTTTATTGACATACATGTTTAAGCCTTGGACTTTTAGAAGAGGAGGGATGACTTGAAAATCACTAAGATCAAAGGGAGCCAGTGAGCCTAGAACACTGCTCTTTACATGAAATGTGGGAAGAGAATGTACAGTTGGAATCTGCTGATGTCTCTCCAGTTACCCAAACACAGGCAGACTGAAGCCTCCGAGGAGAGGAGAACTAGACAGTGTGGCACTGGGGAGGACACTTGTCCCTGCTGAGTGATGGTGCTATCAGTGAAGATCAGGGTGAGCAGGTGGCTCTTGCACAAGGCGGACAGGGTCAAGTGCTTTTCAGACATCTGGAAGGTACGGACTTCAAGTCATTTATGTTACCACCTCTCAAATTTTGGAGTGTATATAAAAGTGTCAAATGAAATATTGCTTTACGAGCATTTGGGAACACCGTCAGCTTGTGGTAACAATATGCTTCTGTTGTACTATCTCATCCAGAGGAAGACTGACAGGAGGAAATAGACTCCTCCATCAAGGAGGGGCCAGGGGCAAATCTTGTTGTTTAGGAAGTTCGAAGATTTCCTTTCTTTTCACTCTTCTCCAGCTATATTGGGCCAGCATTTCCATTCCCTACATGCAAAGCTGAGCCGAGAGCTCAGGAGACCCTCTGACTTCTAAACGAGTAGCACATACTCTTAAGATGTAAATGGAACATCCCCAATTGGATCAACCATGCACATGAGAAGCAACATTATTTATCGAGAGGTCCTAAATGAGGCTGTGGGAAAGCGCAAGAGACAAGTCAGATCTCCCTAGAGTAAATAACATAGAAAACCATATGAGCCTTCCATTCCTAAGCAGCACTACTCTGTGTTTTCTATAGAGAAGACACAGGGAGCTCTGTGTGGACACTGAGGTCTCACACAGCTTGTCTTTACATGATTATGTAGAGAAAGTACTTGGTCACATAAAATAGAAACCAAGAGAACATTTTCTACATAAAACAGCTAGTTGCAAAGATGAATGGCTTTATTTTCCTTTCTCTTCGCCTACCATCAGCTCACCCCGACCACACACACCAAGAAAAAAATAAATCAATAAACCAGAAATATGATACCTTTTCTCAGGTCATCAAAATAAGTATGTGGGGAGGTGGAGGGCTGCCATGCCATGCATGGATCAGAGGATCCCACTGCCCTCTCTCCATTTCCTGTTTATATTTCTAACAGGGAAAGCATTCTATAATACATATGATGCCAGAGAGGTTAGCAGAACATACTCTTAAATTACAGCCCTAGCAGTGCTAACTATTAAATGATTAGTGAAAAATTAACAAATTAGAAGCACATAAGCAAATACTGCTCTCCCTCCCCCCAAACTGGAACATTATACAGTGATGTTCTCATTATGTGGAAGACCCTTGGCTTTGGAGAGGCCTCTGTCCTGGACTAGCATGCAATTTAGAAAGATGAGACTTGTAAAGGAGAGCTTCAAGCTCTCCTCAGCCACCCAAGGAAGAGAAATCACTCCTCTGTCTCTGGTGCCAATGGTTCAGTATATGAGAGTAACAAAGCAGGCTCCATTGTGCAATGCTGACTGACAGGGACAAAACAGAATTCATGTTCCCTGATACTGCGTGGAAGTACATCCTGGGATCCCAGCCTTACCAGACACAAAAAGAGAAAGAATCCCTCCCATGCCTGAGAACCACAGTCCAACTTACAAAGTCTTAAAGCAAAGGGGCTAGGGTCACCATCTTTACCATCTTTACCAGAGGGAAAACAGGTAGGTAGCCCTTATGTGTATTGCAGAATCCAGCCCATAACCATCTCCTATGCTTATGAGCATCAATGCCAATGTAGAAAAGACTAGAAAGAACATGAGCAAGAACCATGGCAACCATCACAGTCAATTGAGAGCAAAGGGCTGAAGTCACATTCAGGCATGACGTGAACTTGGACCTGAAGGGACTCTACCTAGTCTAGTGCTCTCCCCTATTCCACCCATGAGTGCACTTGAGCGAGTCCATGTACATGTGAACATGCATCTAGGTAGAATGTGCTAAGACACAATGAAGTCTTTAAACACCAAAAGTAGTGGTGCATAAGGGCAGACGCCATTTCCCAGAGAGCTGTTACCTCAGGAAGAATGGGAGCAAAGAGGACTCAGAGAGCAGCCCTTTCCAAGGGCTTATTTCCTATGAAAATAAGAAGTGAAGGAAATATGGCAAAATGTTACCCTCAGTTGAGTCCAGGAAGTACCCTATGTGCATTTGTTTTATTGTTCTCTGTACTTGCACACTTGAAATAATATCTAATTAAAGTTCTTAGAAAAACTTTTTTTTAGAGTAGCCGAGGCTGGCCAGGGACTTTCAGTAATTTTCTGCCTTATTTGCTTTGATCTTTATTTTCATAGGAAATAATATAAGCTCAGATTACAGGTATGAACCACCACGTCTGGTTTCAAATGAATGTTTTTACTGAGCTGCACATGTACCAATGGTTAAGATAGCAAACTTGAAGATATATGTATTTCACCGAAATTTAAATTTTGTAAGCAATTTTAAGGATGTTTTCATTTAGTAAGGAAAAGTGTGCTTAAAGTCTTTTCCAAGTAGCAGACTGCCTGAAGGCAAGGCAGCTCTTCTTCATATGCTGGGAACCCTGGGCAGGTCTTTTGCTCTCAGTAGATGTCTGAGCTAGAAAAACCTCAAAATATTTCTGCGTATCTTCAAGGATCTCACTAGATCTTGGTATCTCTCCACTGGATACAAATTGAATTTGACATAAACCTACTGTATTTCTCCAAGTTATCAGGTACCTGGAGGAAGTCTTTTGATTAATTTAACTGCATTGGATGTGAAGTCTTACAACCCTAGGATGTGTGGATGCAGTCTCTTGGCACTAATTAGTACTTCTGAGCCCTTGAAGTCTTTGTCTGAAGATCACTAAAAGGAAATGATATTTTATGTCAGAGAAATTCCAAACAGTGGAAATGCATAGACCCAAAATGGGGATTAGGAAGAATCAGTGTCCTTCTCAGCCTTCCAAGCTAGCATCATGATGGATAAAACTTTTCTTCTCCAAATGTCCCTGGTACAAATCTCAGGACATGGATGCAAGACAATAGGGCTGAGCTAATGAGCTATGTCAAACTAGGCTCAGATCCCTGCCTTATACTCAAGATTTAGCTTTGCTCTTACACGTAAATCAACAGGAAATGTAATGGATAATGTATATAAACCAGCTGTCCTCCATGGTTGAGGAAGAACAAATGAGCTATAATTCAAAACAGATGTGGTCCAGAAGAACAGATGGTTTAACATTAATTCACATTGATACAGCAGGTCAGCCATACCAGTCACTCTCCAGGCTGTTTAGACTCAAGCTGGCCAGAGACCCCAGGGTGTCTCTCAGGAGACCCCCAATACTACAGAGACCTGGTCATAAAGCACTGGAAGTATGTAACATAATACCTTCCAAATCTAGCCCTCAAGGCTGCCTGTTTACCTAGTGTAGCTACTTTTCTGATGCTATGATTAAAATGTCCTGAAAAAAGTAGCTTAAAGGAGAAAGGGTTTATTTGGGGCTCACAGTTTGACGTTCTGGTCTATCATGGCAAGGAAGTTTTGGTGGGAGGAACCTGAGGCAACAGGTCACACTGCAGCCATAGTCAGAAAGCAGGGAAGGTGAGTGCCAGGGCTCAGCTCACTTTCTCCATTTTACTCAGTCCACAGAATAGTGCCACCATAGTGAAGTGGGTCTTCCCACCTCAGTTAACCTGGACTATATAATCATTCATGGACATGCCAAGAGGCTAGACAAATGTAGATAATCCCTCACAGGCATATCCAGTGGCTTGTCTCCTAAGAGATTCTAGATGCTGTCAAGTTACAATTAACCATTATACCTCTATTCAGACTTGTACTTGATAGTATATGTACCTGTGTGTTATCAGTTCATTTAAAAATAATACTTTAAGCAAAAGTGAATTTACTGACATATTTGCTTTCAACTCTCCTGGGTCTGCTACATTCAGTAAATATAGATGCTCCTTAGCGTACAATAGGGGTTGTAAATATTATAAGCTAAAATACACTTAATACCCTTAATACCCCTAATCCATTGATTATCTTAGCTCAGTAACCTGGTACACTGAAGAGTGTTGGTTGTGGCCTATCATGATCTCAGGACTGACTGGGAACTCCAGCTCACTGCTACTGCCCAGTGCTGTAAGAAGGTATCAGACTATGGACTGCTGGCCTAGGAAAAGAGCAAGATTCAAAATATGAAGCTCTACTGATTGTGTATTACTGTCCTGGCATCAGAAAGTCAAGAAAATTCTAAGCTGGGGACCACCTACAATATGTAATTTTCCCTCCATCATTAACCATGGTTTTGCTGTGTCTTTCAGCAATAGAAATGGTGAAATCCTGGAAGCAGGGTGCTTCAAAGAAAATGTGTTTGAATTCAGGAACTGGAAAGGACATTCTCTTCATGAAGCCTGGGTTAACAGCAACAGTGATGATGCATGCATTCTAATGGGCTCCATAAAAACTGTAAGCTCATGGAATCCTGCTCACAGACTGTGAAAATAAGCTGTCGTTATTTAAGTTGGGAATTCCTGCTCCACATATTCAGTGTTCAGAGAGACATTTCTTTCCTTAGTGGAAACTGATAAGCTTTACTTATTCACTAATAAACGTAGGAAACCATTAACCATTAGCTGGGCAAGACACTCTCAGGGGTAGGTGATTTTTTTTTTTTTTTTTTTTTTTCCCCGGTGTTGAGACAGGGTCTCCCTGTAGCCCCAGCTGTCCTGGAACTCACTGTGTAGACCAGGCTGGCCTTG